AAAAAAAAAAAGGAACGAAAAAATTATCCAGTGCTCTTAAAAAGACGAGATGGGATTTGTTTGTGTTCTGAAAATTGACAATCCTTACAAAATAACCTGGCCGGTCAGTTGTATGGTCCTAATGATCAGTTTACGAACTTCAACCTTTGAAGAGCTAAAAGGAAATCTGGAAATTGTAATAACCTTCTCTGTTTTACCTAGAATTACTGCAGTATGTGTGGTGGCGTTTTTCTGAAGAGCATTATTATTTTTATGATTGCTTGCATTAATCGAGATTGCTTAAAAACATATAGATCATGGAATAAGCATGCACTTGATATTTGAATTCCTAATTTTGTGTAACTTCAAGTTTTGTCTCCATTACTGAGTCCATTTTGTTAATTCATTTTTTGCTCTTTTTGTCTTTTCTCCGTTCAGCTGACCGTTTTAAATAAGGGAAGTGCTTGTGACTTGGGAAGCTCAAATTCTAAGGTTCGCAATTTTCACTTTAGGGTCAAGGAAAATAACGTAGACTACTTCTACCCGGGAACTCAGACTTGAAGAGATGTCCTGTTCATTGAATTTGAACGTTGGCCAACATATCAAGTTAAGTAATTGATGTCCTAAAGCACTGGCCGAAAATCTAAGGCGATTTAAACCTTGTTTCATCTCTTTGCTGATTGGTTAGCATATGCTAAAGTAAATTATATACCAGCTATGGAAGACCAAGAAGCGAGGAGCAAACTATATTTATCCGTGATCGATGGCAATTGGCAAAGCCTCCTGACGTGGTTATCTTGCTATAAAGGCATTTAAAACTTAGTAGAAAACAAATTTTACCTTGCAGTTTTGCCCTTCTTGCCCTTGTATGTTGATGCCCCCATTCAAGTTTAGAGAGTTACTCCTGAGTTTTATTGATATAGGAATTCAGTTGCTTTCTGTTATGTTGAACTGCCTCTTTTCTTACGTCAAGCTTTGTAGAGACAAAATTTTGGTTCTTTACGCCATTTCAATGGACTCTACTCAGTTTGGAACTTCTTCATTTCTCTTAGAAAATTACTGCACAACTCTTTGATGATTTTCATATGCTATGTGAATGTGATAAGCTATGGTGTATGTTTAAGTGTGTAAGTGAAAACGAGAGAAAGTTTATGTAAATTCCCAATTATTTAATTTATGTACTGTTGACTTCAAAATACTTTATACATTATTCAATCACTTCAGCGTCAAATACATACCAGATAAGTCATTTTTTTTCCCGCCCGAATTATCTGGAAAGAGGGAAACAAACGTACTAATGTTGGCATAAATTGTTAGTGTAAAAATTCTTTATGTTGGCAAATACATGATGTAAAATCCTTAGACAAATCTATATATATCTATAATTGAGGGGCCTAACGTTGTTACGTGGCGCTCCAATTCAATAGGGACTGCAATTATCTTTTTCTATGATTTTTTGCTATTTTCTCTAATTTTTCACTATCAAAAACCAAAAGTCACCCTAAACCAAAAATATACAACGCTTCAAAAATAACTGTTTCTTTTCCTTCCAACAGATGCTTTACTCTCTCTGTTTCCTTTCCTCCCTCTATCTCAGTATTCATCCTCCTTTATCTTTCTATTTTCCTATTGTTCTTTTCGTTTGCCTTTGTTAAAATTCTTTATACTCTTTCTCCTCCCTCTTTTTTATTCTACACTGCTTTTGCTTCACGCTTGTTGATTTACTTTAATTCCTCTACTAATCTCTAAACTCTTTCCTCACAGTCATTTCCAATTTGCGTTTTCCAGTTACTTTCACTTTAATTTTTAATTCCCCTCTGACTTTGATTCACTCCTTTGTCACCATAACAACTGCTTATTTTGACGCCCATGAAGTGTTCGAAAATATGCCCAATACCTTACCCACGGATTCAGGAAATGCTGCAAATTTACTCAACACTTGCCAGTATGTAATCCTTCCTTACGGTCATTTCCAATTTGCGTTTACCAGTTACTTTCGCTTTGATTTTTAATCCTGATGTGTCTTTGACTCACTCCTTTGCCAGCATAACAACGGCTTATGACACCATGAAGTGCTCGAAAATATGCCCTATAGGTTGACCTTGCCCATGGATTCATGAAATGCTGCAAATTTACTCAACATTTGCCGGTATGTAATCCTTTTAAAGTTAATCTTTACCAACTATGCCTTCTTTCCATATATTTTCAGCCTTTTAAATGTTAGACCCTTTAAGTTCTAACAATTGAGTTGAGCACATGTTTTGTTTTTCTTTTTAGGTTGATAGATGGTAGTTTAAACCAACAAAAGGCCGTGAAAAAATTCAGTTTGACCTTTCTCCATTCGTATTTGAGGTACGCTCCGGAGATTCTTAACTTATTTGCTTTTTGCATAAGGGTGTAAAGATTCTAATATAAATAACTTTTTCAAAATTGATAACTGAGGGTGTGTCCGATATGGAGTACAAGAATTTTGCTTTACTGATACTTTTAATGGTAAAAGTGTTCGTCAACGATGTCTACAAATGTTGATTGTAGTTTGCTGATATGGAGCTTAAACTATATTAGACTGTCATTATAACCTCAAATATTGGTGTTCAAACTCAAAGCATTACGAACTGATTTTCAAAATAAGATCGTCTTGACGTAGACACTGAAACACGTAACTTAGAAGGCTAAAGAAAAAATAAAACTCAAGGTCAGAGAGCATTAATGGGAGGTTATAAAGTTAATAGTACTCCAAAATTGCCAAGAACCAAACAAAATTAACATATTTTCCTATAAAACCTTATGATACTGAACTTTTGGTTGATGCCCTCCTCTGTTATGCTGTAATTTTGGTTAGCAATATAAGGACTACGCCTCCTAATGGCGTAAATTATATT